TACATGACGCTAAAGGAAGCAAGGGGACTTATACCCACTTTCCACGGCCAGTCACAACGCGAGCTCAATGAATTTCTAGATGCATGCACGTACGCTATTAGTCATATAGACAGACGCGATGAGGATAGTCTAGTTTGGGGCATCCTTAGCACAAAAATCAAGGGAAAGGCTTAGCTTGATTGCAAAACGCGAGATATACGAACTTACGAGGAATTAAAAAGGCAGTTAGAATCAACATATCAAAACAAGCATACGACTACTCATTTGCAAATTGAGTTTAATTCCCTAAAACAAAAAGCGAACGAAGACTCACAAACCTTCGGAATTCGCGTCAAAACTATTGCAATGGAGCTCTATGAATCAATGATCGAGGGACGAGCGCGCTCCACGACGGAAAAACGCGTTATCCACGAGACGATACAAAGTCAGGCGTTACATAACTTCCAGACAGGACTACGAGAGGAAATACAAACCATCGTTAAGTCACGGGATTATTGTTCATTGAAGGACGCTATTAATGCAGCAATAACGAAAGAAAAGGTCAGGAACGCCAATGCAAACCGATCGACTAGAAATAACCAACGGGATATAAAGTCGTCATTGCGAAATTTCGAAAAAATTACTTGCTACAAATGTGGAAAACCAGGCCACATCGGGCGAGAATGCCGTAGTAGTGAATACGCGCTTCCTAAACCGGAGAAGTCAGATCGCGTAACTACAATAGAAAAATTTTGCAATTACTGCAAAAACGCGGACACAGCCGTGAAGAATGCTGGACATTAAATGGACGGTTAAAAACGACATCAAGTCACGATAGAATAAACGGTGATAAAAAATCGCGTAACGTTAATGTAACCAAAAGTCGTAAGAAGCCGAAAACGAGAAACAGTGATACGGATTCTGAGCAAATCAGTAACGATGACGAGCAAAGTAGCGACGAGGACGAAAGACAAGAGAAAAAGAATAAGACGACACGCGCGCGGGAATATCAGATGTCACACGTGCGCCGAACGCCGAGAGAGAAAGAGAGTTTAAATATAATTAATCTGCCCATGCGAGAGGCAAAACACGGAAAAGTAAATATGCTTTACGATTCGGGAGCTACGATTTAATTGATAAAAGTGAAATTCTTAAAAGGCGAGACCAAAATTTACAACAATAAAATAACTCTCGTGGGAATAACCGGTCACAAGACAAAGACGATCGGAAAAATGTACGCGATCATTAAGCTAAACGGGAACAAAACAAAACACGCGATTTACGTTGTAAAAGATGATTTTCCGATGGAATTTGACGGAATTATAGGAATAGATTTCCTGAAGAAACAAAATGCTCTTTGCAACCATAGGAAACAGGAGCTGCAACTAGGAAACACGGTAATAAAACTGCGCCCGTATGAGAAGATCCGATTACGGCCGCGCAGTGAAACGATTAACCGAAATTTAAATAGGTCACGAAAAAACGAATCTGAGGACGAACGCGATAGCAACGAGGGAGACTCGAAAAAAGAGAGTCCCCGGTACGCGTAAGCCAGTATCGCGTATCACATATCCGACCCGCCGCAACTAAAAATAGCGCAGGAATCATAAAAGCCGAACAAACCGCGCCAGGAATTTTTTATCGGATGATACCTAGGCGAACCAAAAATTTTTAAAACAAAAATTGAAGTCGGTGAAAAAATGCTTATATATGACGATACGCTACGACGCGGACGATCAAAGAAACTTGACGCCTTATGGACAGGACCGTACACGATAATCGAAAAGAACTCCGACGTCAATTATACAATAAAAAAGGGAAGACGGATGATACAAATACATGTAAATAAAATAAAACAATTTATAGACAACTAAGAAAATACATACCCCGAGACAGCTAGATCACGACACACAAAAACAGTTTATATATCCAATGGTATCTAGCGGAATAATAATAATAATAATAATAACTTTAATCATAATACTTATTATTGCCATTGTAATTTGGAAAATAAAAAATAAAAAAACACAAAAAGAAGGTACCTAGACCCATACTGAAAAGAAGCAATAGCACACGTTTTTAGAAAATAGAAAACGGTTGTAATTATATTGAAAACGGGCATAAAACAGTTATAAATTTTAATTGTAAGCGAAAAACTACGTACCTTCGTTTTTCTTCTTTAACGGGGGAGGGATGTTATATCCCTCAAAGATATAACTATTAAGAAATAGCTACTCGTGTTACATCCGCTTGACGACGGACACTGACCGCGTAAAAACGCATACGCTGCGATATGCGCGGAACCGAAATTGCTCAACGTGCAAACAAAGCAGAAGGACTTCGCTCAGTCGCAGTCGCAATAAGTCGCTCTCAAGACGCTCTCGCGTCGTTAGTTAAACGACCTCGCTAGCCGCGTGCGATATATAACATCCCTTCGCAATCGCGCGCGATACGCGAAGTTATAGTTAAACAGTGTCGTTAAACCAATACACGCACAAGTGTAACAGTGGTGAAACAAATAAAAGACAAGTGGTTTACTTGAATAAAAGTTTTAATAATAAAAAGTGGAGTGCGTTTATTTCAACAAACCGAAATAAGTCCCCGGATCCTCATCCTAATTTGGCGCGACCCCTTGTGTCTCACCCGAGGCACATAACAGCCTACAAAAGCAAATACCGATAAATATTTAATGTTTGTCTTTATATATAATACATATTTATATATTTAATACAATAATTATTAGTCTTCCGCACACAACTTTTCTGGTAATGTTCCAATAGATAGTTTAATGATTTTTGGCTAATAATTGCTGATCTTTTGCGTTATATAACTCTGCGTTAATAACTCTGTTTTAGCAATATGGTACAAATTGATGTACAATGTTGATAGCAATTTGTGTTAAATTAACTTTTTTTTATTTTCAATTTTAAGTTCTTTTGTTACAAATATAAATTTTATTTTTTCCAAATGATTAATTTTATTTTTTTTTTGTTTTTTTGATTAATATTTTATTTTATTTTTATTTTAATATCTCAAATATACAAGGTGTGCGCAACGGAAAGCAGGATAAAAAGGTCGGAAGCGAAAAGACAGAGAAGCACTGCACTCGACACACGCGTATCGTTAACAAAATATATTTAAACTATTAACACAAAAATACAATTATTTAAACCGCACAGAATGTACCAAAAGATAGCCGAGTCGAACGTATTAGAAAGTACAATAACCGAGAGAAAAGCCGTGTTGAAAATAAAGTACTGAGTGTCCGCAAGCAACGGTAATTAAACGTGAAAAAGACAAGCGATCTTTTTCGTAAAGTAGAAGCACACTCTTGACGCGACAAGCAATCGGAAAAGAGCGCCGCGGTCACGAGAAAGGAGGTTTATATAGGCCTTGTTCAGGAATAAGCCTGATCCTAAAGTATAGGTCGTTCAATTCTCCGTTTATATTATCATTCGACATCTCAGTAATTATTCGCGCCAACGCGGGACAACACGTCAAACGCACATGTGATCCACGTGTTACTCGCCTGTCTTTTCCTTTGCTCGACGCGAATCGCCTGCGCAAATCCCCAAAATTCTCGCTTCGCGCCTTGGCTACGTGTCTCGGATCATTATTGAGCGTCCAGCCACGAGACGAGATAGATCAATACACCTTTTGTTGAAATATCGTCCGCCTCGTTTCTAACACTCTTGTTATAATTTGTGATTTGAATAAAAGTATATTAAAACGAATCCGCGAGTGACCATTAACAAAAACTACCGCCTTGGCGTGCGAACCTTCTATACAAGGTTTACCAACGAGAAACAAAACAGGCCTGTATTTCTAGAATATTCGCGAACATTTTTTTTATTCTATCGTTTGGTTGAGGACGAAAGAGCGTTTACTGTAATTATTTACTTTCCAGCAAATCGTAGTTTTGTTATTATTGGGAACTAAATTGTATCTCCTCTCGCGCGACCGCGGTGTTTACAATTTAATGTGTTTTAATGTAAGCGCTTATTTTTCGTAGGCGCGAGGTATACTTATAACTTTGCGGCCGAACGCTATTTATAATATGAAACGTCAGCATGTTAAAATAGAAATTGATAGACTGTATTATAATATAAATTATACGAATGCTGCATGTGAAATGAGAGTACGGCATGAATTTGCATGCAATGTTTTCATTGTTTTTAATTGTTTTAATTCTTTCAGCTTTTTTAGACGTTCGATTTTCGAACATTCCGCCCGCCTTGCAGTATACCTGCAATCGACTTTGTAGTGCGAGAGTGGGGGCGCGCGCTTATTCACGCGCTCACGAGTGACAGACACGTGTAGCTCACGTGCTCTGACTGATGTCGCAAAAAGAATGCTGAATCGATCAACTGTTTATTTCGAACGTGACGGTATAGACGCATATTGGTTAACGCGTCGCAAAGACCGTGACAATTTTGGTATTCGGATCTCTCGTGAATTATAATGATACAAATAGTGTAATAATGAGGATAGTGCAGTGATAAAGGAGATAACAGTAGGTCGGTGTCATGTAAGTGGAGTGACGATGAAGAGGAATGAATAGAGCAGTGACAAAGAAGAGATGATTTTTGTGCTGCAATGAGAAAAGAGTAAGACTTATGACGCTGAATTATTGTGCAGTTTCGTTGCCGTCGTCCAGAAAAATCAGTTTGCTGACGGGGCGCGTTAAATTCGTACTCGCGGTACGGATTTCGACTACGCGCACGTGGCCGTCGGATCCGGGGTGCAATCGAGTGATTTGCGCAAGCGGCCACCGCGTTGGTGAAGTGTTTTCGCTGCGGAGCACAGCCGACCGACGCGAGCCTCCTAATTGACTCGGGACTATTTTGACCGATGGGCCAGCGTGTGTATGTATTCGCTGGCCTACCGGGACCAGAAATGGTCCCTCATCTGTTGCAGAAGCTGCCAGCGTGAAAGCCGGGCCGACGGCTCTCGTTCGAGCGACGGTTCAGGTACGGCGGAGAGAGCGGAACCGATCAGGAAGTGACCTGGGGTAAGAGCTGCTACGTCCTCTGGGTCGTCGGACAAGGGCTGAGAGATCGAGAATTGAGGCAAGCTTCTATCTGAGAGAGCAGCGTCGCCAGCTCCTCACAGATGAGGGTTGCATCACCTATGATTCGTCGCAGATGATGCTTCATAGATTTGACGGCGGCTTCCCACAAGCCGCCGAAGTTCGGTGCCGTCGGTGGATTGAAGTGCCACCGGATTTTCTCTTGTCCGGCGAATGCGGCGATGCGATGTCCGTCGGTACTGGCGGCGGAGAAGAGAGCGCCAAGCTGCTTGTCAGCACCCACGAAATTGGTACCGCAGTCACTATACAAGGAGGCGCAGACACCTCGCCTGGAGATGAGTCGGCGCAAGGCGGCTATGAAGGCGTCGGCGGAGTAGTCCGAGGCTGCGTCGAGGTGAACGGCTTTGGAAGCTAAACAGACAAAGACTACAATGAACCCTTTAGTTGCTTTGTGTCCGCGGCCCTTCGACGTTCGCAGCCAAACAGGTCCGGCGTAGTCGACGCCGGTGTGCAAAAACGGCCTGCTTGGCGTGACCCTTGGCACCAGGAGATCGCCCATGAGAAGCTGTGGGATGGCGGCTCGCCATTTTGTGCACCTACTGCATCGGTTGATGTGTCTTTTCACCAGCGAGCGACCTCGAGGGACCCAATACTCCTGGCGCAGGGAGCACAAGGTCAGCTGAGTCCCGCTGTGTAACGTCCGCTGGTGGTGGTCGTCGATGACGAGGTGAGTGTATGTCGACTCGCTGGGCAGTATTGGCGGATGAGTGGCATTGTACTGCAGGTGAGCGTTTCTGAGGCGCCCGCCGACGCGTAGAAGTCCCTCGCAGTCTAGGAAAGGATTTAGTTGTGCAGGGAGCTTCGCGACGGCAGAGGCGTTCCATTGCGCAGCCTTCTAATCTCGTCTTTAAATGTTCTAGCCTGGATCAACCTCACCCAGGAGATGCGGGCTTCCGTCAGTTCGTCGACGCTGATCACGCTAGACTGACTTTGCGCATGGCGGAGCTGGCGATGGATCAGCAACCAGCGACGGCACCATGCAGTGATCCGCAGCAGTCGTTTCAGCGAAGAGTAGCAAAGCAGCAATTCCGATTCGGGCTTCAGCTCGGCAACGGCGGCGACGTGAGCACGGACTCGTCTCTCTGGGAGGTCCTCTGCTGACATCTCCTTGCTGTTGGTCGTTCAAGGACTGCTCTCCGTTGCTAGCCATACGGGACCTTGCCACCAGAGCGGGTGGTCAACCAGCTCGCTAGGATAGTGCCCCCGGGAAACACAGTCCGCTGGGTTTTCCCGACCTGGTACGTGATGCCAGTGGGTCCAGGATCAGTGTTTGTATTTTGCTGACCCGGTTGGCTACATAGATGGCTCACGTCGAAGGATGCCCACAGATCCAGCCGAGCGTGACGGTGGAATCAGACCACATATGAAGAGGTGCCTTGTCTGCTCCGATGATTGGTACGGTGTGGGTGGCTAGACGAGCCAGAAAAGTGACGGCAGACAGCTCCAGCCGAGGTAAGGAGACTTGCTTCAAGGGCGCGACCTTGGTTTTCGCAGCTAAGAGAGCCACCTTAGTAATATCCTTTGTTTTGGTCTTTAGGTATAGCACAGCTGAGTAGGCACGCCCTGAGGCATCGGCGAACGTGGATCTCCCGTTGTGAGTCAGCCAAGCCTCCCAGCCATCGAGGTACGAGCAAGTTTTCCAGAGCAGGCAGCTCGCTCTGGAATTGTAGCCATCTCCTCTCTTCGTCGATTGGCAGCGAAGCGTCCCAATCGAGGCTAGCAACCAGGTTGACTGGATGAAGATCTTAGCCAGTACTGTTGTTGGGGACAGCCAGCCGAGAGGGTCTAACATCTTTGCTGTCAGTGAAAGTACCGACCTTTTGGTGATGGTCGATAGATTGATCCGTTTGGTGGCGAAGGCGAAGCGATCGTCCCGGGGTTGCCAGCGTAACCCGAGAGTGGAGTGACTCTCGCCGGGCAGCCACCATCTGGCCTTTTGTTGAAGGCGGTCGTCGGGCCCCACTTGGTTCAGCAGTAGCGAGTGGTTTGCCGACCACTTCTTAAGCGAGAAGCCGCCCGCCTTGCAGATATCAATCAGCTGTTGTAGCATGACTTCGGCTTCTTTCATGGTCTCCGCACCGGTCAGGATGTCGTCCATGTAGACGTCGCTCAGCAGAATGATGGCTCCTTTCGGGTAACGATGTCTTTCGTCCTCGGCCAGTTGGCGTAAAGTGCGGATTGCCAGATAAGGAGCACAGGATAGACCGTAAGTAACAGTATCCAGCCAGTACTCCTTGATTTCGTTGTTAGCGTTCTTTCTCCACAATATCCTTTGCAGGCTTTGGTCGTCAGGGTGCACCAGGATCTGCCTATACATCTTCTCAATGTCGGTCACGAAGACGTAGCGATGACGTCGCCAACGCAGCAGGATGTCGGTCAGTGAAGGAAGCAAATTCGGTCCCTTTGCGAGATATTTGTTGAGAAAGTCTCCGTTTGGCAAGGAGCTCGAGCCGTTGAAGACGACCCTCAGTTTTGTGGATGTGTTGTTCGGACGCAAAACCCCGTGGTGCGGCAGGTAGCAAACACCCGGATGCGATTCCGTCGACGAAGGAGCATTATGTGGCGCAGGTCCAAGTATTGTCGCATGAATTCCGCGTACATGGTTCGAAATTCGCTGTCTCTCTCAAATTTCTTCTCCGTGTGTTGCAGAGCACGGCGGGCAGAGCGAACTGTTCCTGCTAGGTCCGGCAGAGGCTCAATCGTGGGCAGACGCACAATGTACCAGCCGTCGGCAGTGCGTGAATGATGCAGGCAATAGTGCTCTTCGCACTTTAGTTCGGCCTTAGAGAAGAGCTGAGACGGCCGGCGAACTTCTTCTTGCTCCCAGAAGCGACGCACCAAACAGGTGAGGTCTTCCTCCACCTGGCAATGGTGAGAGGAAATACGTTGGCCGCGTGCATTCTCATTGATGGTGCCTGACAGTATCCATCCTAGAGAGGTCTGTTGTGCCACCGGTTCCTGAGGACTTCCCTTTTTCAGGCCCTGGCAGATGATTACTCCGTAGACGTCGGCACCAGCAGAAGGTCTATTGGATCCGCGGAACTGAACTCTGGATCGGCGAGCTCCAGGTCCTTTAGATGTGTCCAGGATTGCAGACTTCGGCGGCATCCTTTGGAGAAGAGCATGAGTTTTGGCAAGATCAAGGCGGCGACGGAGTTGGACGACTTACCGTTGTGCGCTCGAAAGGTAAGCTTTACCTTGCCTTTGGCAATTCCCGTCCGTTTCTCGCCGAGTCCATAGAAGCTGACGGCGGCGGGCATGCGAGGCAGTCGCAGTCGCTGAACCAACCGCTCCGTTATGATGGACGACTCTGAGCCCTGGTCGATCAGCGCTCGGGCGGAATGCCAGAATCCGTGGCAATCGAGGACGCGGACTCGAGCAGTGGCGAGCAACACCGTGACAGAGGCGGGGTGCGATCTTGAGCCACATGTGATGTCGTGGCGGTCTCGGCGTCGCGGAAGGCATCGTGCAGCGAAGAGTGATGCCGACTGCCACACGTGGTGCAAGTCTTTTTTGACGCGCACTCAGTCAGTGGTGTCGACCCAGGCAGTTCGAACAGAGGTTTTGATCGCTGACAAACTGTCTGCGAGCCAGAGCCGTCTTCTCTTTGTAGGTGCCACAAAACATAATAAAGTGGTCGCCCTGGCATACGGCGCACCGGCTTCTGACTTATCCTTCGGTCCGTTTTCTTCAGTGATGGCTCCGTGTCGATTTCGCATTGATGTGGCTGCGGCTGTCGCTCTTGGCCGGAAACAGCGCCTCCAAAGTATGAAGCCGTCGCTCGATAAAGGCTTCAGCTCGGCGTAGGTAGGCGGATTCGTCGTATGACTGATGTCGCTCTCCCATTCTCGACGCGAACGATGTCGAGAAGCTCAATGACTAGATGCACAAAGAGGTCCTCCGTGCGATCGATGGGACGATCGATGCTCTTCAGCGAGCTGACTGTGGTTTTTATGCTGTGGAAGAGTCGCCCCAATTCAGTGCGGATTCGCTCTTCATTTTAGTAAGCGCCAGGAAGTTGTTAAGATAGTTGCGTGTTAACAATCTTTTATTTTCGTAAAAATCGCTCAGCGTCTTCTAAGCGATTTCGTA